ACTGGTGATGTAAACATCCATGCATGCAAACATTCATGCATGTAAACTTCCTTTTCACGTAAACCAGCAGCTTGCAAGAAATGTTGCAAACAAAGGTGGAAAGTTGCATACAATATATGGAATATTGCATGACATGTCTCACAAATTTACACGATTTATAATGTAAATTTGTATGATTTATGACGCTCCATTTATGTGCATCATAGTAACGGAAATTTACACTACTATGTTATATTTCTGCATGGACTGACCGTGTTCATCGGAGATACTAATATTCCAATCAGAGGTTGATAAAGTTCACGAACGGTTATTCTATACATGCATCTACATGTTTTAGGAGATAAAATATGAGAATTTTCATCGTAAGACTGATGTAATATATGTATTTCAGCCTACCCAAATATATGGGGCAAGGTGAAACAACACACACCATAATTTTCCATAATAATCCTTATAAAATGTTAGTTTTTTGATCTAAACAAAAGTTTAATATTTTTTATTTTTTTTTATAATTGTGTATATTCGATTACGTGAAATTGTAGAATGCCACGAAGAACACAAGTAGCTTTATGCAGTGATGGTGTTTTACCAAGAAAATATACGATGTAAAATCATAAAATACTTGCTTTAAATTTTCGGATGGCTTGTGTGTGAATGTATGTGTATACTAATGATGATGATTTGGTCAGTTTGGTCAATGACGTTTGACGAAAGCCAAAAATAAATTATCGCGGTACAAAAACCATCATTTCCATACATCCTTTGTCTTTGATGAAGAGAAGCCGACAGTAATCCCTTTGAACAAATCCTATCGCATATTTTACCTTCACTTTTCTTTTTTGTATCATGCATGGACAAAAAAAGAAAATACCGTCGAACGTGCATGTGAGCAGACTAGTAACCACACTATGAGCACTTCTTTTTTCCTTTAGCCTTTCTTCTCTCCAAAGCGTTGATATACCTGCGGTAAAGTCACAAGCCTGTTAATCTCAACGTTGGTTGTACGAATCCGTTTTGTACCCATTTTAAGTTTTTTGTGCTGCTTCCTACGATCATCATTTTTTTGTCAAACAATAAGGAACGGCTGACTAAAACGTGCAGTTTTTAATCCTCTCCGAGTAACCGATAGATCTAAGAGAGAGAGAACGAGCAACTTTCATTAAAACTACTGATGTTCAGTAGCTTGTCGCAAATTACTGAATTCTGTAATAGCAAGTACAGCTTTACGGCGAATGACTAAAACTCAGTAAAATAGCGTACCGAGTTTACAGTATCCATTATGTTTTACTAAACAATCATCGAACAAAATTCCATGATTGCTGATCACACCCGTAAGTCAACTTGCTTGCGTCATCCTCCCCCAGTTTCACATAGAGCACTTGACCTCGAACTTGTTTGGAAATCTCTGTGTGATAAAAAAAAATCTCTGTGAAAATAAGTGAAAAATCTGGAAGCCAACGCAAAAATGCAGAAACTGACACGGAATCGGACAGTTTATGCACTCCTGCATCGACTTCCAGATGTTTCACTGATTTTGAAGCAGAACAATTCAACAACATTGCCTGTTGTTAAGCTCCAGACATAGACACGCAATCCAGCACACGAAGAGAGCCACCAACCGGCCGAACCACCAGGAAGCGCTAAACATGTTAATCTCAGTCCCCAAATAAAAATCGTAAAAAATTAGAAACATTTTAATCCTACCCATCGTATCGTATCGTAAACCCAAAAAATAATCATCACTACCAGTAAATAAACTTTTTTGATGAAAAACTCAGAAAAAGCAAATGTAAACAACTAAATAACTGATATATACAGCAATTTCTTTACTGACTTAGACAGTAATTTTTGAAAGTTTAGAGATTCTGCGATTTACGGAGTTTTCAGTTAAATTAAAAACTACTGGGTTGATTGCTGAAAACTCAGCTGTTTGAAAACCCAGTAAAATTTTTATCGACTTCGGTAATCTAAACTCTATGTGTGTGTGTTTTCTCTGAAGGTACACTTGAGAGTGCTCTCGAGTGCAATTTCAGGGAAATAAATTTTTTTTTAATCTTTATTATAGAGATTTTAAGCCGAAGGCTATTTCATCTCTAAATGTGAACGGTGCAAAACTTTTGCATTTTGATATAGTCTAGTCTAGTCTAGTCTACACATACACAGCCAGTACTTGAAAGAATCCTGGAAAATGATACATCTATCATTTTTCTTGTCATTATTAATGCCTGCTGCACATCAAGGATGTGAAACAAACAATAAAGCGGCCAGGCCTACTGTGTAGCGTTAAGTTAATTTTTGTGGAAGTGAATGTTTACCATGTCTACTTAATAAGTATAGACAGTGGTTAACATTTAATCCACAGGTAATCAAAGAGCGGGGACATACCGTACCAACCGCTCCGTATGCAGGATTTGAAAATAGGCTATATAAATCGTTGGGAGTGACAGAGCTAAGAAAGTTAATGTACACTCCTTGATTGTCCGATCTCCTGGGATGGAACACAGGTATTTACCCCTTGTGTTCGAGCGTACAGTCCTCCCTCCGTACAAGCGTGGACGGCACCGCCAACCCACTGCCATCCCTCAATCGATCCAGCCGACCTCAGTCGAAGGACAACAGAGAGCGGTGTGCGGACGTAACCTATACGGAGGGAATGCTGTATTCGCCTAGGTTATAGCGCCCTTGCTCGCTACCATTTTCTTCTAGCGGTTGGGACCTGAGCACTAACTCTTGTCCTAGCCCTATATGGCATATGGTTATAGCGCCATTACTCGCTTTCTGAAAAGAGAAGAAGGGAAGGGAAGGAGAGGAAAAGGACTTGGGAAAAGGAAATGCGGAATTCCTTTCCTCATTAGTATTTGTATCGTCAACTTTTATGAAAACTATATAAATCATTCTTCCTTGGTCAGAGGTATTATTACGACATTTGAATAAGATTGTCTTATCATTTCCCTAATAAAAATAACCATAAAAGAGAGCTTAACGACGTGTTCGGGGTATCATCCAAACCCTATGTGGGATGGTTTACCTATCCGAGATACAGTTCGTTTATGGTATTTGTTTATTAGGGTTGTTATTCAAAATTTAATGTTATAATGATCAACATAGCTTTGGATTATCCAATATAAATCGGTAACACTGTCCTGCAACCGATGTAGGAAGCACCAAAGAATATATATAGACAAATCTCAAAAACACAGTTTTAACTGATAGTACTTTATAAACATCAAACTGTCCAATATTGGATCCTGCCAATTATTAGCACCAGAATAAATTGCAACGGACTCACCAAATTGATCCATGAACGATGTCTTGTTACAGTGATCTCCATACTCAAGGGTTGGTTGACTGGGCTCGAAAATAGGTTTTCCTATTCTTAGTATCGGACAAGCGAACCAAAAATCCTGTATGGCCAATCAGTTGATTAGTCAGATGATGAAAGCACAATTGTGGCTGAATGGATTCAGGCTGCTAATCGGAGAATCTGACCCACTTGTAAGGAACACAAAGAGCCACAAAGAACAACCAATGGTGCTAGGTTCCGAGATGATCAGTGGTTTAAGAACTCTGGGGTGGCAAATAGTTGAAGCACAAAAGTCTAGAAAAAACGGAGCAAAAATTGACGGCTGAAAATTTTCTAAGTCTCTCTTCGAGCACAGCTCACTACGATCCATATTACTCAGGAATCGTGCAAAACTTTTGCATTTTGATATGGAGATTAACTGTTAACTGAAGGTTCAGCTAGATTTTACGTTAGCATCCTATTTTAAAAATTATCGAAAAAATCCCAAAAGAGCGATCCATCACTGCCTCCACGACTACGTTTTTAGTGGTACTTCTCTAAAATGTGAGAGCACTGTGAAAGGTCTTGGAGTACTTCTTGACTCTTCACTGACGTTCAAAGATCGAGTGTCATTCGTCGTTTCAAAAGCCTAATCACAATTGGGATTCATTTTCCGATTCAGCAAACATTTCAAGGATGTGTATTGCTTGAAGGCATTATATTGTGCTTAAGTGCGTGTGTGTTTTGTGGGCGTCGTATTATGAAAACGGAATAAATAGAATTTAAGCCATCCAACGGAAGTTCGTACGTTGCGCACTTCGTCACCTGCCATGGAATGACCGTACAAATCTTCCCAGCTATGCTGATCTATGCAGGTCGACTCATTTTGATTCACTCAACGTTAAGAGAGATGTAGTCAAAGCTTATTTCGTCAGTGACTTACTAACATACAATATCAATTGCCCAGAGCTTCTTAGCCAACTGAACGTGATCATCCGCAGAAGTGCTCTTCGTTCGCATACGTTTGGCAATATATGTATGTGAGTATGTGTCGTGTTTTTGACAATTGTTTCGAGTGTTTCGATTTTATATTGTCTAGACGTATGATAAAACACAACTTTGTGAGAGCCCTATCTGTTTGATGTTATTTTTACATGTTACATAATTTAAGTTAGTTATTGGGGTTGTTTTAACCTGTAGACTGTACAAATACAATAAAATTAAAATTAAATAAAAATTATATCAATGGAGAATATAAATCGCTCTCATTATCCCAAGAAATTATAATTCTAACCAGCACACGAAACTGCCGAATAATTGCGGAGCAGGGTGAAACAGCTGTGGTCTCAAATAAAAATGCTTGAATCCAATTCCACAGCAACCATGCACCGTACGCCGACAGGATTCTTCACAGTTCATTGGACACTCTTCGATTTCGATTGCGAGTAGCGCTCTCGACCCTCGATCATTACTGACATTTTTCGCGACCCTCATCAACCCAGCCGTTTCCTTTTAATTTTTTTTTTTTCGATTTGCTGTTTTCTATATTTTTTATCATTTGGTAATATTGGACTTTTTCTCTTCACTTCGAGTGACTAGGAAAGGATGAGATATTGTTTGTTTTACTTTGTTCAATTTCCATTGAATTGAAAGATTCTTTCCATTTCTCTGTTTCTTTTTGAAAAAAATCCTGTTCCGTAAAATCAAAAATACTTACACATCTCAATGCTACTCTAGTCGACGAAAATCTATTTAGGCAGCCCATCATAGAAGAACTTGATTGCTCTCTGCTGACCAATGACAATTTCCAAGCTATAACACAATTTAACGCACGTTTTCTTCGTCTCAACACGATGCTTTCGAAGTTTCCGTAAGTCAATGCAACGAACGATAACAAATTTAGTAATTACACCAACATGAACTTTACAAAGTTGATTCAACTTCAACAGGATAACACGTAATATAAATCATTATCTATTGTAGTTCCTTGTATTTATTTTTTCCATATAGTTCCTAGTTTTTAAACAGCATGTCAAGCGAAGGTGTATTCCATCCTGACGAGTACATTTTCACACTTCCGAAAAAGATGCCAAGAGAGGTGAACAGAACTTTCTTTTTATTTTAAATAACACTTGTTACCCTTTTATTCTCTAATTTTACCATCACTGCTTTCAACGAAAAATATCAGACATTGAGGAGTTTTTTATTCAAAGAAATGAAAAATCTTCATGATGTTCACTAGGCAAAGTACGGTTTGATTTCTTTCACGTTGTACCATCACTCCAAGACTAACAATTATGAATCATTTGCAAGAACCGTTGCCATGACTTTTGCACACATACAACTAAACGAATAGGGGATGATTTCAGAGTCACATTCACTCAGAGACAGATTCTCTTTCGGAGACTCCCAACGCAAGTGACAATCTCGGGAGCAAAGTCAGAAAAAATCCACTTCCTCAGCGTAGAGGTTTTTTCCAGTCACTCACTAACACAAATAAATCTTTGATGGATTCATCCTCTCAGCAGGTGGATAAGCACATGACTTTTTCACTCGTCCTAGATAGCTCTGGATAGATTCATTTCTCTCATAGCTGTTGCATTTCGTAATATCGGTTTTTCGTCTTTCGCTATGGATGGCAATGACTCTAATGGTTTACCATAACGCATGAAATCTAGAATAAAAGAAAAAGAGAAAAACACTCACATTAATATTTTTTATACTGTTGGAAAATTTTCACTTTTCCTTTGCCTATCCGTTATGTGCACCTTGGTCAATAGATCACCGCCATTGGTATGGCATGGTAAAATTAAATTATAAAATTAAAGATTACAGCAATACTGATGAATCATCATCGATCCGAAACTCATGAAAAATAGTTGCTTAGAGGCATTTTAACTGAACACTTAGGTACTTTTCAAGATGCTGTAAGTGTTCGAGTATCAGTGTCGAGTGTTTTTTAGATTTTAACGTTAATTTCGTAAAATTGTTGAAAATTAGTGGCACGTAGCGTTCGTAAGTGATGTACAGGTTTTCTACATCCAAAAACTCCCTGATAGGCAACAATCAGCCCAGTGACAGGAAGAAATTTATTTATTTTATTTATTTATTTCGTCAACCAACGTAGACTAGTACAATTAATTAATACAGTTTTGTTTTCTTAAATATATATTTATATAAAAAAGTAGTGTCAGCTTTCTTGTCTTTTCTTTTATGAGTTGTTATTTCTTATGGAATAAAAATATTGCTTTAGTTTATGCCGAGACATTGTAAAGTCAATGGTTTCGCAGTGTTTATTGTAAGAGGCCATCATGCGGTTTAATGGCCCATATTTTGCATAATTTGTGCGATGATGTTTTATGGCAAATAAATTTCGATTTCGGAGTTGCCGAGTGGGTGCATGGAAATTTAATTTTGATAAAAGTTCTGTTGAGTCAATTCGCTGCGAAACGATATCATTTACAAATGAAACCATTGCATATTCACGACGCTCTTTTAATGTTTGTATGTTTATAAGCATGCAGCGTGCTTCATATGATGGAAGAGGAAATGAAGTCCAACCTAATTTACGAAGAGCGTATAATAGAAATTGTTTTTGTACTGATTCTAATCTTTCTTCGTGCGTGATTGAAAATGGAGACCATACAATGCTGCAATATTCCAGTATTGACCTCACATAGGCAATATATAGTGTTTTAATTGTGTAAGGGTCCTGAAAGTTATAGCAAAAGCGCTTGATAAAGCCTAGCATGTTATTTGCCCTGTGAATAATTGTATTGTAATGGTCTATGAAAGTTAGCTTAGAGTCTAAGATAATTCTTAAATCCCTAACTCTTTCACATTTGTCTACAGTTTGATTTCCTAATGCAATTGAAATATTTGAAGTTGTTCTTTTTCTACTAAATGATATTAAGTTACATTTTTTTACATTCAATTCTAGTAGACTTTTTTTGCACCATATGTAGAATATGTGTATTTCATTCCGGAATATATTGATGTCTTCTTCATTTCTTATTTCCAAAAAGAGCTTCATGTCGTCGGCATAAATAAGCAATTTAAGTTTTTTGAGAATGTAAGATATGTCGTTTACGTATAGAATAAAAAGGAGAGGTCCCAAATGAGAGCCTTGGGGGACGCCTGAAGTGACTTGAATTGGGCTCGATTTCTTTCCGTTGAATTTAATTATTTGTTGGCGGTTAGTTAAATATGATTCAAGCCATTTCAGGAGCCCTGACTTAATTCCAATTTTTTGCAGTTTAAAGAGTAACATTGGTATGTCAATGCGGTCAAATGCCTTGCTAAAGTCTGTATAGAGAGCTTCTACGTGGTTTCCATTATCCATTGCATTCAATGAATAGTCTATAAATTCAAAGCCGTGTTGCATGTCAGTAATTCTATTTTTGATTTGGAGAAATAATTTTTCGTTGATAATTGACTCGAAAAGCTTAGGAATGCAAGAGATAATGGCTATTCCACGATAATTACGTACGTCAGATTTTCGACCAGATTTAAAGATAGGTACTAGAAATGAGGTTTTCCAAATTTTAGGGAAGGTTCCGGATTCCAGGGACATATTAAAAAGCCAAAACAATGGAGCAGTGAGTTCCATTGCTAGACATTTAATAAATACTGGAGGAATTCCGTCAGGTCCAGGACCTTTTGAGGCATCTAAATTTTTTAAAGCCTGCAAAATGTCCTGCACTTGAAGTTGATTGAGGCCAATGTCCCTTGAAAATTCTGGATAAAATGCAAAATAATCGCGGTCACGATCTTCTTCAGAAAAAGTCGTATAAATTTCTTGAAAAAATTTTGCGAATAGATTACAGTTTTTTTCCGAACTATCACCGACATTTTCGTCTAGATGCATTATTGAAGGAAAATTGTCAGATTTTAATTTCGTTTTTACGTAATTAAAGAAGTTCTTCGGACAGGACTTTATTTCACGTTCAGTTTTTGCATTATATTCTTCAAATGCAGTACTGATAGCTAAATTCAGTTGATCGCATAGATCCAAATAAATTAATAAATTATTACTACTATTGTGTTTTTTATAAATTTTATGTGCTTTTTGCTTCCGATTTTTCAAGTTTTTTATTTGTCTGTTAAACCAGACTGGATTTTGTGTGTTTCTGTTACGTCTTTTTTTCTTCAAAGGTATTTCTTCCGAAATTATTTCTGTTAAAATTTTGTAGAACACGTCTATACCAATTTCGACATTTCCTACATTCCTTAAAATTAATTGCCAATTGACACTGTTTAATTTAAATTTTATTTTTTCGTAGTCTGCTAATTTGTATTCAAAGACTTCTTCGTGTTCGCAGTCGTTGGGTCTTTGGTTTTCATGCATAAATAAAGAATATTCGATTGCTGTGTGAAACGCTTCATTTTTCCACAGTGGATTTAATGATTCGGTCACACAGAAATCTTCATAAATATTCGTTAGTAAAAAGTCCAAATAGCAATTTTGTTGGTTTTTGATGTGGTTAATTTGGTTCAGTCCTAAATTAGCAGTTTTGTCAAATATGAACTGCAATGTTTCATTATCCCCAACGACTGGGAGTAAGATACATTCATTTTCAGAGTCCAGAATGAAGTCAGCATGGCGTTGATTAAAGTCTCCATAGATGTGAACTTTAACCTCAGGAGGAAGGTCAGATAGAATTTGTTCAGCACTTTGGAAGAAGGCTTCATAAGTGCTTTTATGAGCATGGTCTGGTGGAAAATACACTGAGGCGAACACGTGCGTTTCACCGGCTATGTGTGATTTCACCCAAATATGCTCAAATTCTGTAAATTTTGGTGTAATGATGAGTTCTGAGTTAAAATTGGTCGCAAGAGCTATAAGGACTCCACCGCCTGACTTCTTCTGAGTTGCATGAAAATTTCTGTCGTCTCTGAATACATTAAAGGCATTTCCAAAGATTTCTTCACTTTTTACGCTTTCGTCCCAGCTTGTTTCAGTTGCCAGAATGACCGAAAAGGATGAGCATAATAAATGTTGATAAATTTCCTTCATTTTAGCTGGGCTTTTCATGCGATTGAAATTTTGACAATAAATCAAAATTTCAGTCGCATTCTGTCTGTGTGAAGAAATTGTTGGAAATACGTCGGTTGATAAAGTATGGTCATTGTTATTATTAGTTACCTCAGTCTCATGCCGAGCATCGTTATATAGAAATAATGAGTCTTCCTCAAGGTGCGTCAGCGGCGTTGAAAATTTACAGGATTGTAAAATTTGAGGGCGGCCTCCCTAGTAGATTGTAGCCGTTGCGTGCGTTCACTGGACAGGAATGTACGGTAGGATTGCAGGTCTGCCAAGGCGTCGTTTCGAGTAATTCCAAGTTCTTCATGGACGTCCAGGAAAATTTCGTGCAGGAGATTTCTGTCTTTTGGTAGTCCTTCAGCTGCTAGCATTAGAATAGCACTGGTTTTGGTGATTCCGCGAATACATGTTGATGATGGCTGGTCATGCAGGAAGGAGAGGTAGGGTCGAACAATGTCCATAATTTTCGGGTCCCTTAGACGGGCCTTCAGGAAGCGTTGGTCGCCAGTTACGGACTGTTCAGTAAGTCTCACTATTGGCGGACGCATGGGGTCCAGAAGAGGAGGGTGTTCTCGCTCAGTTGGTTTTTCAGTTCGATAAGGGTTAATAGTTTCCCCTTTTTCGAAATTAATGAAATTTAGTCCGCTTTCTTTGGGTGGCCGAGAAAATTGTATTCGTGCAGCAGCCAAAAGTTCTTTATCCAAAGGTAATGCAGTGCTGTTGTAGAGATGGCTGCTTCGGGTCCTGTTGTTGTTGATGTTGTTGTTATTGCTGTTGTTGTTGTTATTGTTGTAGTTGTAGTTGTTGTTGTTGCTGTTGTTGTTGTTGTCGTTGGTGTTGTTGTTGTTGTTGTTGTTGTTGTTGTTGTTGTTGTTGTTGTTGTTGTTGTTGTTGTTGTTGTTGTTGTTGTTGTTGTTGTTGTTGTTGTTGTTGTTGTTGTTGTTGTTGTTGTTGTTGTTGTTGTTGTTGTTGTTGTTGTTGTTGTTGTTGTTGTTGTTGTTGTTGTTGTTGTTGTTGTTGTTGTTGTTGTTGTTGTTGTTGTTGTTGTTGTTGTTGTTGTTGTTGTTGTTGTTGTTGTTGTTGTTGTTGTTGTTGTTGTTGTTGTTGTTGTTGTTGTTGTTGTTGTTGTTGTTGTTGTTGTTGTTGTTGTTGTTGTTGTTGTTGTTGTTGTTGTTGTTGTTGTTGTTGTTGTTGTTGTTGTTGTTGTTGTTGTTGTTGTTGTTGTTGTTGTTGTTGTTGTTGTTGTTGTTGTTGTTGTTGTTGTTGTTGTTGTTGTTGTTGTTGTTGTTGTTGTTGTTGTTGTTGTTGTTGTTGTTGTTGTTGTTGTTGTTGTTGTTGTTGTTGTTGTTGTTGTTGTTGTTGTTGTTGTTGTTGTTGTTGTTGTTGTTGTTGTTGTTGTTGTTGTTGTTGTTGTTGTTGTTGTTGTTGTTGTTGTTGTTGTTGTTGTTGTTGTTGTTGTTGTTGTTGTTGTTGTTGTTGTTGTTGTTGTTGTTGTTGTTGTTGTTGTTGTTGTTGTTGTTGTTGTTGTTGTTGTTGTTGTTGTTGTTGTTGTTGTTGTTGTTGTTGTTGTTGTTGTTGTTGTTGTTGTTGTTGTTGTTGTTGTTGTTGTTGTTGTTGTTGTTGTTGTTGTT